ATAGATATCAGAGAGAGATTTCACAGGTCATTTTTCAGGTATTTATGGGCTGATAGTGTCCACTGCAGTGCCCAGCTCTGTCACTGAACCACAAAACAGCCTCAGACCAGAGGCAAAGAAGTGAGTGTAGTGTGTTCTGCCCAAAATAACTTCATTTACAAAAAGAAGGGCCCCCACATTCAGCCCACAGACCCACCTTGTGGAGCCCCGGGGTCAGCCCTCGGCCCTGCAGGGAGAAACCAACCCTCATCCCGAGTCGGGTGTCGACCCTCAGAGACTCCCCTCACCCAGGGTGGGACAGGGGGACTGGGGGACCTGAGGGGAGGCCGTCTCTCTTCTTCCCTTGCAGATCACCAAGATGCTTGGGATTCTGTCACGAAGCCTGGAGTCACATGAGGTCCCCCTGCATCACCTGGGACACTCACTGAAGATGTCCACCTCCTCTCTGTGCTGGGCACAGCAGACACCACCATGGAKAAGACTTCACTGGAGTCGCCGGAGAGAGAACCAGAGAACACTCTTCACAAGCACCCACCCGCTGCCCAGGAGGCCCACGTGGACAGTAACCAGCTGGAGACCCTTCACAGCAGAGCCCCGGGCTCAACCATGAGTGTGACATGGCCATGGGACAGCATCGGGAGAGGACAGCCTGACAGAGGCCACCGGGCATGGAGAAGCCATAGGAATGGGGTGACCAGCCCTCCGTCACCCCAGCTGGACCCGCCATGCRATGGCCCAGGTGACACCCAATGGGGTCAGCCCACAAGACACTGCTGGGGTTCTAGCCGCCCTTATGTCCTGTCCCCTAAGCTCCTCCCRGGGACGGTTTTCCAAGCGGAGATGGGAGAGATGGCCCCGTTAGAGGACTCGGGCTTGTTCCAACAGATAGTGTCCGTGATGGCAGGTACCAGTTTCCTGTGATCCCCATAAATCATGGCCACCAACCGAGTGGCTCAAAATAGCAGGATTTCATCCTGCCCCATCCGGGAGGGCAGATGTGGAAATCCAGATGTCCCTCCACTGGCTCCCGGGGGCTCCTCCTGCCTCTCCAGCTCCTGGGCTCCAGGTGGCCCTGGGCGGGTGGCCCCTCACTGCAGTCTCTGCCTCCGTCTCCACGGGGCTCCTCCTCTGGGTCTGTGTCCCCTCCTCTGTCCCTGGGGAGGACACGGCCATGGCACAAGGGCCCCCTGACCCAGGAGGAGCCCATCTCAGGACCCTGCACTAACAACCTCTGCAGAGACCCTGTCCCCACACCAGGTCCCACTCCCAGATTTTGGGGATCTCCATGCCCGTGGCGCCATATTGGTTTAATGCTCTGCTGCTACCATCTTGGAATTCCTTAGCTGGAACTTGCCCTGCGGAGTCAGTAGTGGTCTCTGCTCATGTCCCCTTCCTTCATTAAGGAAAGGGAGCAAGCCTGCAGCTAGTGAGGACATGCTGGTCACCCTCAGCATGTCCTGAGAAAGCCATTGGTATGGTTATGGCCATCGTCACGTCTGAAGATGTCCCCCAACATCCATGGGTTTTGTCTGCTCCCTTGGGGATCCTCTGACGGTGACTGATGTTCTCTGACAGCGTTCCCAGTGGATTCCTCAACACTCAGCRTTTGTTTAGAGCGTCCTCTGTGGTCCTCTTGTTTAGCTGACCACCGCTGCCCGCTCCATACAGCCGTGTCTGGCTCCTCTCAWCAGGACCACTCCAAAACCCAGGTCACTCAGAGGATCTGCCGAGCCCTGGAGCCCAGACAGACGTGTTTCTGGACTGTAGTGCCTTCTAGATTCTTCCAAGGTCGAGGCTCCATCTTCCGTATAACATCTCTCAATGACCAGCACAGGGCACCGAAATCGAGAACCCAGGATTCTAGCAAGACGTGCAACCTCTGCACATGGGCACGTCCTTGGCTCCAGGTCACGGTGCCCACGTGCTGGTCAGTTTCATCATCACAAAAGGCGTCCAGATGCACACGGTTGATGGGGCAGCAGCTCGTCTCCCGGCCACACCCACGTTCCCATTGCCCAGTGAAGACTGACCTTGGACACATGCAATTTCCAGGCAGTGGAGATGGACGCGGAGAGCAACTGAAATCTCGTACGACTCTGAGGTAAAAGGCATGGATCGCTGGGTGAGTGGAGCTGATTCCAGGGCGCGGCTGACTCCTGGGGATTGTGGGTTTCAGTCTCCATCTGAAGTCAGAGGAGGAAGCAGAGCTCGGCGCCGAGCAGGACTAACGTGTTGATTTCCCTGATTCAACAAGCCGACCCAAGATACTTTGGGCACGAGCAAAGTGGTCTTCCATTGCATCTGGTAACATCAGTGGGTTCTTCAGGTCCAGCAATGGACAGACCATCTCATTCATGTGCCCATCCACCAATCCATCCATCCACCCATCTGTCCATCCACCCACCCATCCATCCACCCATCCATCCATCCATCCACCCATCCATCCACCCATCCACCCATCCATCCATCCACCCATCCATCCATCCATCCGTCCATCCACCCATCCACCCATCCATCCATCCACCCATCCATCC